GTGATGTAAACGGTCACAACAAGCAGCAGGAGAGCAACTTGTGATATACCTCGAGGTGTCCTGAATGCTCCAAACATCACGCCGTTGTTTATTTAGGCTGCTCACATGTAACATTCATCTTTTTATTAACAGGACAAAGAAAAGGACTTTTCCCAACAGGGACCTCAGAAAACGTATAGCATGCCGCACCATGACATTGTGACTGCATACAAAGGTCACACATGACTATATGAACATCTATTTATTGAACTTTAACAAAAGTGCAAAGTGCAAATGTAAAACAAATCTCTCTTCTGGCATTTAGTCCAGCGCTTCTTTAATGTGTCTGGTCCATTTATTAAAGCAATGATGATAACAAATACAAAATTCTAAATAATCAATTCTTTTATACGGCCACATATTAAAAGAAGAGATGCAGATGTCATGTGCTGTAAACAAAGCAACTAGTGGAGGCGGCAAGGTGCTCAGTGTTGCCACATTGGAAATGGTCAAGTATCGTACCAAAGGCTCAAAATGGTCGTATGTGGAGGATAATTATCGTGTATCTGGCAACATGGCGATCGGTCCACCAATGACTGTTCTCTCTACAGTCAGAGCTCGCGCAGGAAGGTGGAGCGTAAGGGAGACACCATTTACACCACTTGTGAGGGCGGAATAACTAGTTTGTGAAAGACTCAGAAACACAAATATCCGACGAAGCAAAATCCCGGACACATTATTTAGGTCTCAGAAAGAGGACGTCTGGTCACCCTGTGAGTCACTTCTTTAGCTGGATTGATGATGTAATGTGTGAAGGAACAGAAGAATGAGTGTGATTTACCTGAAGAAGTAATCAGACGTAAGGTGGAGATACTACGTCCCATCTCGTTCTGGGCTTCACAGTAATAATTCCCACTGTGTTCAGCTGTGAAGTCAGTGATGGTGAAGTTCTGTCCTGATGCTCGTGGTGAGTCTTCATGCTCCTTGTACCAGGTGTAGTTAGCTGCTGGGTTAGCATCAGCGCTACAGGTCAGAGTCACTGAATCGCCCTCCAGCATCTCAGCAGATGGACTCACTGACACAGAGGGACGCTGTGGACCATCTGGAGGAGACGTGAATAAACATACTAAGAGGTTAGAAGATGTTAGCGTAGATAGTTGATCATTTGAATGAATACTTGTGTGTCTTTCTCTCAGACTATCTCTATTATTCATCACAGCAGCTGTCACAGGTGAGACTCCTGCTGGTGTAAAGTGACAATAAGCAGCCTTTAATCCTTTGTAATGTTCATATCTCCACACATTCTTCTCTTTAGATGCTGCTTGTGTCCTTAGCTGAGTCTGTCCTCTCACTTCTAGTTGTTGTAGGAGTTATTGATTGTTTCCTCCACCAGCTGACACGTCACTTCTACTTATGTTCTGGAATAATTCACTTGAGTCTTTATGAAAATCACATTATTCTGTCTGCTGATAGTTTATATTTGTGTTTCTATTAATAAGAGAATGACATAAATAAAGATCTGTGTCTCCTTTAACATTTAGACTCCAGCGTGTTTACAGCTGTGATTAGAATCATATTGTTGTGTCAGTGTGTGAGTGACTCTTCTACACGTAGACTGCCGGGGCCGGGGATTGAACCAGCAACCCTCTGGTCAGTGGACCACGGCTCCACCTCCTGAGGAACGTTGTGCTTCATCTTTTTGATGCCTCTAGTTTACATGCAGCGGTCTGGTGCCTCCATGTGAGATGTTGGTGAAGCTCCACAGGCCGACACAGTGGAGTGAACTTACACACTGCAGGAGAACGTTGACCAGAAGATCCTCCTAAATAACAGGAATGTCTGTCTGTAGAACCAGAGGAGACTAGAAGAGAAGATCCTCTCTTGATGATCTCTTCATTCTTGTACCAGACGTATTCAGCACGATCAGACAGAACACAGCTGCTGTGACACGTCAGCTCCAACCAGGTAGAATCTGATCTTCTCACCTGCACCTGGAATCCTGAATCAGCGAATATTATTTATTAAAGTGTCAACATTCACAGAAGACATTTATACTCTAGTTTTCTAGATGTTGAACATTTGTAGATGATTAATATGTGAATTAAAATGTTACCTGTGACACACAAAGTGACTCCAGGTGAACCAGTATATTTCTCTCCTGGTTTGTTTGTCATGAATGTGAATTTGTACTCAGCTGAGTCGCTCTCTTTCACGTCTCTGATGATCAGATAACAACTATCACTATAACCATCACATCCATACGTCACACGGCCTGAATACTCAGAGTCTGTTCTCAGATCCACAGGTTCACCATCTTTCTCTTTAGTGAACCAGAATGTGTCCTTTATATCAGAGGGATCTATTCCAGGTGGGTGTGTGTAGTCACAGGTTATAAACACTTCTGATCCTTTTGCAGCACAGACGTCAGTCTGATCGTAATTCACTCTCCATCCATCCTGACTCTGTATCACTGTAACACAGCACATCAGGAACCACAGTCACACTCAGAACAATATCACAGGACACACTCTCATTGGTAGTTTACTGAAGAGAAAAGATACGATGAGAAATATGAAAATCATTGAGATTATAGAAAGTAATGAAAGAGTCCACGATGTCCACATGGACTCTGCAGCTGGAAGGAACAGCGACGTATTGAACCTGTGGACCTGAAAAAGCTCAAGTTGAAGTATTAGAAGGGTTTGGTTGATGAGAAGAAGAGTGTCTTTGCTCTGTGCTCTTCTGTCTGTGGTCAGTCTGCTGCAGAGTGGAGATGGAAACTGTAGAGAAATGCAGAACTCTGAGGGGAACGATACTGTGACATATAGATTAGTAGAATATGAACGGCACCTTTGGGGGGAAAGTGTGAAATACACGTGTGTCTGTTTAGGCAATTTGGCCGCCATTTTGTCTGAATTGAATATATTTTGTGTGTGTGTGTGTGTGTGTGTGTGTGAGGGCACATCTTACTATCTTACACACACACGCCTAAAAAACAAGGAAATGACCATGTTTGGTCAATTTTTGACAAAATGGCGGCACAGAAACGCACATTTTCACACCTCCCCCCTAACGTGACATTTATGTGCTGATTAGATCACACGTCACTGATAAGAAGTGTTTTAAGACTCGACTGGCTTTCAAAAGTCAACAAAAAATAAGAAATAGAATTTTCCAAAACAATATCTATTCGTCTAAAACCACAGAATGTGACTTTTCAGCATCCGGCAGTGAATCAATTATCTGTGACACGGATCAAAGCTGCAAAATGTCCCTCAAAGAGACACTGAACAACCAGGAAGAGAATAAAAATGACCACAAATACACAATAAAATGCTCCAAAAAGAAGAACAAGTCGTCAGAGACTCGGAGTGAATAACAGCCTCTAAATGTGGTCTAATGCAAAGAAACGCTGCTGAACGATTAGAGGAAGTTCAACAGAGACAAATTATTCAGAGCATTTCTTCTTTGTTAATGTTCATTTAGTCATTATTTGTGTGTGATGACATCAGACCTGTGTGTGAAGTAAAAACACAGCTCCCTGTGTGTGTGTGAGGTGTGTAACGGCCTCACAATATAAATGTAGAAGTACAGTACCTTGTACAGAGAGAAGGAAGACGACTAATCCACCGGCTGATGGACTCATAGCTGCTCCTCTGTGTTCAATCAGCAGATCAGAAACTCTTTATTCAGTAAGTCACCAGAAACACGTCTACATTAAAGAGGAGGCTGATGTCTCTGAGGTCAGCTCGTCTCTTCTGGAGTTGGTAACAAGCTGCTGTTCAACACCCAGCAGTGCTTCCTTCCTCTTTCCGTCATTAGTGTGCATGAGCTGCAGAACAAGAAGCTGCTTTAATGTTAACGTCTTACTTCTGCTACAAGGAAACATCATAAAAGTGTTGTTAATATGTGAAGATCATCTTGATGAACCTGTAAGCAGCATAAACGTCTCTTCATTCTCTGTAATAATTCACATTAAGTGAAAGGCTGCAGTGTGACGTCCTCCTGTTAACATGTAGATAAATATGTCCTCTCTGCAGCTCTTCATACGTCTTCCTCACATTCACTGCAGGACACAAACAACACAAACAAGCTGTCAACTCACACAAATGTTGCTTTATTCATTTAATGTTCACACATTTCCATTACAATATGAAAGTGGCTGAAAGTCGCTCTGAAGACCTTAAATGTTAACAACACCTCATAGTGTAAATGTACAAAAGAGATGAAAAATTGATTGCTAGTATCTATATTTTTCTCTTTTCTTACATTTCCTTGTATGTTACGTGTGAGATGCAGTGTCTCAAACAAAAAGGGGTCCGATGGAACTCAGCTTGTGGTGCTCAGAGCTCTAAAAAGAACCCGTGTGAAGCCCTTAAGACTTTCACCCAGAACAAGGACCCGATACCAAAGACTCTCCACGGAGCTCGTTGTGAGCAGTGAGGGAAACGTGTTGCTATATTGTGGCATCACACGGGGCCACGTGGCCGATGGGTGCTACGTCCCCTTTAAGGGGCAGCAGCCATCCTACAAGATGGAGGCCACGAGGCCGGACCTGAGGCCGGGACAGGCAGAAGGAAGGGGAACGTGTAACAGGAGGAAACCAACAAGACCACAACGAGAAGCAACTGGTGGCAAAGACTCAGACCCGGTCAGGTTTTTGTGTAGAAACCAGTTTCTCCTCCCGGGACGCTTTTAGATGTTCAAGTTACCTCAGTGGGCGATGACACAGGAGAATAACTCATTTTTTCTTCATTTCAAAATCACTCTGATAGTGGTTCTTTGTCTGAAGTACTTCCTCCAGGAGAACAAGGTCTGTGGAACATCTTACAGTGACATTGCAGTTCTTCTGCACTTTGCTCACCTGCAGCTCCCGCAGGGCCTCGGTGGCCATGTTGCCGTTTTTGAAGTCGACGAAGTGCACAGAAGCGCTCGTGAAGAACCCGGACGCTCTCTATCTCAGCGCCCCTGTAACCGTGGGAACAGAAGAGCATCGTAAACCACAGCAGGGAGGCATCAGCGGCCACTTACGTTTAACAAATGATGCTGCGTTCACTGTTCTAACGGGTCCGACCGGCACAGCTGGAGCCACAGAAGCAGCACCTGATGTTGGTTTGTAACCCTGAATGTGTTCTTAATAATGCTGCATCATGTGCACAAAAAAGCACGACAATATTCACATGTCACTTTCTCAAACATTTAGAGACAATTCGTGTACATTCATGCAATAAAATTTCCAAGGATAATGTTTGGCAGTAACAAAGTTGTTAAATAATATAAATGTTACAACTAAATGTAAATGTTATATCTAAATGTTAAATCTAAATGTAAATGTTAAATCTAAATGTAAATGTTATATCTAAATGTTAAATCTAAATCTAAATGTTAAATCTAAATGTTAAATGTAGAGTCTACATTTAGCTCTACATTTAACATGTAAGACTTGACGACTGAACATTAAAATAATTACGGTAATTCACGCCGCGGCAGGACAAACTGGCAAGTCCGGATGAATTAGCTCTTGTTATACAAGGATTTCACCGCGCCCCCCCTCGTTAACCGCGAGCATCTGCGCCCGTGCCCCCCCCCTGCCTTCACCGTCGCCGATGGTCCGGTCAAGGGGGGTTGCGCGACGTTCCGCGCCCGCCAACACCCTCTCCACTGCGGTCATGCGGACCGCATTTCAAAATGAAATGTGCCTCTATTTGAGGTGTTATGGTAAAAGGGCTCACAGCCTTAAATATGGGGCGCCGGTTGTCATATGAACAAAAAAGCACGACAATATTCACATGTCACTTTTTCAAACATTTAGAGAGAAATTCATGTACATTCATGCAATAACCGCGAGAGGTCATTTACAATAAATAAATTAAAGGTTTTTAATTTCAATTTTGAAAAGTTTGAAATGAATATCAAAATATTTATGATGCGGCACATTAGTTATGTGAAACATTAGTTGATGAAGCACAAACAATTTAAACGGACAGATTAATAAAACAATAAGGCTCTCGCTCCAAACGGCTGCTCTCGTCCGCCTGTCGTTGTTCAACAAACGCGGCGCCCTCTTGTAGTATTAAAGTCAATATACCGTATTGTCCGCACTCCAAGGCGCACTTACAAAGCTTTAACTTCCTCACAAAACGACAGTGCCTTATAATCCGGAGCGCCTTATATATACGGATCAATTGGTTGATCGGTTGATCCGTACTGGTTGTTCACTCTGCCAAACACGCCAAAGCTCGTCCACGACGGCGAGATGCGGAGCTGCTTTCAGGGCGCGTCGGAGAAACGAAGCTGTCGTTCTCTCCGAGCACTTCATGAGATTAAAGAGCGAGAGACGGCGCCCTTTTCTCTGCAGGAGCTGAACCATCTTAACGGGGAACATAAGTTATTCTAAAAGCAGCCGGAGATTTACGGCGCGGATGGCGAGGGGGGCGGCGGGAACAGACGCACCTCGCGGCATCGATCGGACCCTGAAAGCACCGTCTCCACCTCCCCACCCCCACATCCACCCGCCCCGACGCCAACCGTCTGACTGCAGGAAAACATACATTGTCGGTTAATACATTTTGAATCTAAATTTAATTCTTACGGTCATTTAATCATCCCTAGTTTATGTTTTGATCAGAGTTGCGATTAAAGGCACAAACACACACACACACACACACACACACACACAGTCTTAATACTTCCCACCAACGCAGGTGTGTTTGTAAAAGTCCAAGTGCAGAATCACAGACTGATGAACGTGTTGTAAACTGACCTTTAACCCCATCAGAGCATCGTCCTTACTGAAGAACCCCGTCAGCTGAGTACGGCTCCAGAACCCAGTAGCAGTGCGAGCGGTTCCCGTAGAACCCGAAGGGGCCGCGTGGAGACGTTTAGAACCGGAGTGACCGGAGACGCAGGGTCAGGGGTCAGGGGTCACCTGTGGTCGCAGTAGATGGCTGCTGTGAACATGTCCACGTCCTTGGAGGTACCGGCCTGCACACAAACACACACTTTAACACCATTTTAACTTCACTACCATTAATTTGACTAACTGTAACTGCGATGGTAAACTCACTGATGGACGACGATGTTAAAGCGTGATCAATAAAAGGTGAATAATGAATTATGGTAGAAAACACTTCACTAAAGGTCTCAGGCTGCATTGACAGGAACAGGAAGTTCACCCGGCTGATCACGCGGTTTACTTCACAGAAGCTGCCATTCGTGGTTTTAACTATTTATAATTATCTGTTAAACGGGTGTTAAACAGCCGTGTGACATCTGCCTCCCGTTGCTGTGGAAACGCCTCTTCTGAACAACTTCCCCAAAAACTGATTTCCTGTTTCAGCCAAATGCAGAGACGTTACATTATGCAAAGTGACTTACATTACATTTACATTAACACGCGGCTTTTACTTTGGCCCGGGGGGCCATCAGGGGGGAGGTGTCACTCTCTCGACGCGACTCGGACGCAGAGATGTGATTGGCCAATGACACCAGCCTACCAGGGCGCTCACTGTGCTTCCGTTCTCCAACAACAGTTCTCAGCAAGTGACGCCGCGTCGGTCTGCAGAGGCCTCAAACACCTCACTGACTACAAGCCAAACCCCCCCCCCCCACTCCATGAATGACCTCCGCCTGGCAGACTCGATGGACAATGTCCTGATGCCGTCCCCCACAGCTCCACCAGCCTGGACGTTCATAGTTAAGTGGCATTCAGAATGAGAGTTACTTACTGAAGAAGACATCTGCCTCCACAGGACAGTCCCGTGAAGAGAACGAACCTTTTCCGTCCTCACACTCCGCTCGCCGTCTCAGCAGTGCAGCGCCACCCTGTGGCTTTAGTGGTGGACTTCACATTTCCCACTGGGCCACATTGCTGGTCAGCGACACTGGTTTCATATTTGGGTAAAACAATGTAATCTAGTATCAGTATTCAATTACACGGACAATTCAGACAACGTTAAGATGATGTATTTAATATTGCATTTATTGTAAGTAGCGAAGAAGCAGGTCAGTTGTTAAATGTCTCTAGAGGCAAGAACACGACACAACACAAATACAATAGAAACGTTACAACGATTCATTGATAACCTTCAAAATGTTGATCGTCTCACACCTGTTTCAGAATCTATTTTCCCACGAGGGACAAATCCACCAGTCTGTCCCACGTGGGAGAATGTCCACCCCCGGGTTGACCCTCTTGAGGGGCCTTGTCCTCAGGGTAGAACAGTTGGTTGGTGCGGATGAGACAAACTGTCCGTCCACTGCTTTGTGTGTCACATGCAGATAAAGAACTGCAGATTCTCCTCTTTTGCCGTTGTTTTTTTAACGTTGTGTACGTACAACGAGCACAGAGAAGAGGGACACAGCACCAGTCTGTCACGGTGTGGTTCACTTCCTGTCTTATTTTGTAGTTTTCTGCCACTCGTGTCCCCGGGTAACTTCACTTCCTGCCTTGTCCCGTCGTCCCCTGTGATCGTCTAATAGTTTCCACCTGTGTCCAATCACCTGCACCTCCCTTGTGTATTTAAGCCGTGTGTCTCTTGTGTCACTTGTCGCATCATTGTCCATCGTCCTGGATGTTCATAGTTTCATGCCTGATGTTCTTCCCCCTGGTTCCTGTGTGTTTTTTGGCCTTTTGACTAATAAAGTCTTTGTTTTCCTGAGAGGTTTGAGTCCTGCTTCCCCCTCGCATCCCGGACACCAGTCGACTCTAAAATAAAACCGGGTTAAGTGACTAACTGTTAAATTAGGTTTATCGTGAATGTTAAAGCCTATAAAGGAAAGCCAAAAGTCAGAGTGTTGAATATGAAAAAGGGATTAATGATTTGAAGTGATAACGGGACTGATGCCGTTTATAACATCTACTTACACGGTCGTTTTCGTAATTAATGCAAATATTATATTTGAGGCTGCAGCACAATTTCAATCAAACCTTCTTTTAAAGGGGTGATCAGCAGGGTAAAATGAGTTATACAACTATATCAC